CTTTGCAGGTTTCCATATAGCCTTGTCCACTTGTTGAGATAGTTTTTGACATCTAATAATCTGGACAAGCATGGGATGTCTTCTCACAAAACTATTTGGAATGGTCCAATCTAAACCATCCCAACACTCACTAACTGTAAGGTCATGACCCCAAACAGCAATATCATCCTTTGAGATCAACTCACAGAACCTTAACTCACCTGCCCACCAATCATAGAATAGTGAAACTTGTCGTCCATCTCCCACTTGCATCCAAATGATATTTTTCAGTAGAGGACGAAGTTTTAAAACTTGCCTCCATCTCCAAGCACAATCCGCTGGGATTTTAACCTTCCAAAAATTTTCACCCCTCAACAGCACCACCTGTGCCCACTTAACCCATAGCGACTCTTGATGTTGACATATATTCCAAACCAATTTGCCTAATGCTGCCTTATTCCAATGCAGCAATTGCTTCACCCCTAGTCCCCTTTCTTTCCTTGGCACACATACATCATCCCATGCTACAAGAGACATTGCATTATGATTCCATTTACCACACCAAATGAAATTTCTACAAGCAACATCAATTTGCTTTAACACTTTCTTAGGAATCAATAAAGCACCACTCCAAAAAACTTGAATGTGGAATAAAACAGAGTTGACTAGTTGAACTCTACCTGCATATGAAAGGAATTTCGTTGCCCAAGAGCCAATTCTCTGATGAATTTTATCGATAATAGGTTGACATGCCCCAGGAGACAGCTTTTTTGAAATCAATGGCAACCCCAAATATCTAACTGGAAGCTGTCCCTCAACAAAACCAAGCTTCTGTATTAAAGCCACTTTCTGCCCTTCTCTAACACCACTGAAGAAAACCCGACTCTTCATTCTATTCACTTCCAACCCAGAGACTCGGGCAAACTCCTCAAACTTTTGCATCATCAAAACAGTGGACTCCTCATCAGCCTTACAAAAAAGCATAATGTCATCTGCAAAGATCAAGTGCGTAAGTTGCATCACTTGACACTTACTATGATATTTAAAGTTCTCCTGCATATCTAACTCCTTCAATTGCCTTGTGAGATATTCCATCACTAGCACAAATAGATAAGGCGAGATTAGATCACCTTGTCGAAGCCCTCGTTGCCCCTGAAAATAACCCTTTGGTTGTTCGTTTATCAATACAGAAAATCTGGTAGTAGAAACACAAAGCATAAGCCAGTTGATAAATTTATCAGGGAAGTTTAGCCCTCTTAACATTGCATTAACAAAACCCCAATCCACTGAATCATATGCTTTTTGTAGATCAATTTTCATTAAGCATCTAGCTGGCCCCCTACTTCTATGATAGTTCCTCACCAGATCTTGACAAATCAATAGATTTGTCGTTATAAATCTGCCCTTCACAAATGCAGTTTGATTACTACTAACCAGCATGCTCAGCACTTCATTAATCCTCTAGGTTAAGAACTTTGATATCACCTTGTAGATGACATTACAACAAGCTATTGGCCTATAATCACTGACAACATTTGGGCAACTCACCTTCGGAACAATAGTAATATTGGTGGCATTAATTTGCTTGAGGATTTTCCCACTGTCAAAGAAATCCAACACAGCAGCTGTGACATCATTTTTAATTATTGACCAAGCTGCTCTATAGAACCCTGAAGTGAATCCATCAGGCCCTGGTGACTTGTTAGAAGGAATTGAAAATAGGGCAGTCTTCACTTCCTTAGCAGTATATGGCCTACATAACTCTTCTAACTCTTCAGTAGTTAACACTCTGCCCCTGCGGATAACATTCATATCAACGGCTTAAACACCTTCTTTTGCCTTTCCAAACAAGTTTTAATAGAACATTAAAAACTCTTGTTCTATAAGTTCAGGCTGAGTCACTCTAACTCCTTCACTGTTCAGGATGGAGTTAATAACACTTCTATGCTGCCTCTCCTTTACTTTAGCATGAAAATAAGCAGAATTAGAGTCCATCTCCTTTAGCCAAGTTACTTTAGCTCACTGGGCCTGGGCAATTACGGACAGATTTGCTCTCTCAAGCTTAGTTAATTCACGTTGAAGTTCCTTTTCCTCTGCAGCCAAAGTCTCATCAAATAAAGCATTTTGTATGGAAGCTTGAACATTTTGTAGCTCTGCTGCCATATCTTTTATTCTTCCCTCCAAGTTTCCATATCTATTTTTATGCAGCTGCTTCATCTTCTGTTTTACCAATTTCAATTTCTGCACTACAACAAACATAGGGCATCCCTGAATATCCACACTCCAAGCTTCCCTAACCAGACCAAGGAAGTTTTCATCCTTAGACCAAGCATTACAGAATCTAAATGGCCTTGGTTTCTCGTTCATCAATATATCCACAGTCACTAAAGAGGGTAAGTGATCTGAGGATTGTGGATTTAGAAAGACAACAGAAGTATTTAGGAATGCACTAACCCATGTTGAATTAGCCATTACCCTGTCCAGCTTGCACCACAGCCTATCATTTTCCCCTTGCTTATTACTCCAAGTGAAGAAAGCACCTGAAAATTGCAAATCAAAAACCTCCATTCTACTGACAAAATCCTTGAGATCAGAGGTATCTTCCCAAACAACTCCACTAGGCTTCACCCTTTCACCATAATTTAGAGTTGTATTAAAATCTCCAGAAATTATCGATGGCACATTTTCAACGTCTAGAGCTCTAACTTGATCCCAAAGTGCTACTCTACCATCAAAAGTATTAAAAGCATAGACAATTGTGCACAAAAATTTAACATCCCCAACTGCAGAGCATACTTCAACATGTAGTAATTGGTCTGTTTGTATTACTTCAATCACCCTCAAAACTGATTTATTCCATAATATCCAAATTCTACCATTAGGATGAGAGTTGTAATTATTCAACCATCCCATTGCCTACCAAAAGTTTGCACAATTCGACTACTATTCTCTTGTTTCACTCTAGTTTCTAATAAAGCCATAAACTGCACTTTATTTGAACATATAAACTTCTTAACATCTACTTGTCTTATAGGGTCATTCAAACCCCTCACATTCCATGAAGAAAGATATATCATGAGAGAGATTTACTTACAGAAGATTCTCCCCCTGCTGCCTTTTGCATTATCTCTTTATCCCCTATGCCAGTACTAATCTCACTATGTAGATGCACTGACTTCATAGCTCCCACTTCCAGTTGCACTAGACTTTGCTCATTGCTTTCCACTAGCAGCTTTCCAGATGGACATGAAAGTGTACTCTGCTTCACATTTGCTGAATTAGTAGCAGTTTGCACTTCACCACCACATAATTCATCATTCCCCCCAGAAGACTTCGTGCTAACTATCTGATTGACCACCTGCTCCTCGGCAGGTTTTTTTGGAACCCACACCTTTTTTTCCTTAGTAGTACAGTTTCTCTCTTCATGCCCCAGGTTTCTACATTTACCACATCTGATAGGCTCCCATTCAAAGACCACAGGCTGTTGGAACACACCCTTAGGACCAATAATAGGAACTACACGGGGCAGAGTGTCCATGATTTCCATCTCTACTAGCATACGAGCATAAGCCACTCTTTGCCTTTTAGCTGTTAATGCATCAGTTGCAATAGGAACTCCCACATAGCTTGCTAGCTTTCCTAAGCTCTCAAGATTCCAAAGACTCAAATGGAGTTCAAGAAATTGGATCCAGACAGGAATCTTACTGATATCCAAATTGTCAGGATCAAAATCTGGAGTCCATTGTTTCAAAATCAAAGGGTGCCCATTAAATGTCCATCGCCTCTCTAGCACCGCTTGCTCTGCATCTCCATTACCAAAATCAAACAAGAAAACTCCATTTCGCAGCATAAACGCCTTAGGCACCTGGCATTCCCTCCACCTGTTATTCACAAAATTAGCAACATCCTTAAAATCAGGTTTATATCCCAGAACATACCCAACAAGAGCATTCTCCCAAATCTTTGACCCTTTATCCCACTCATCCTCAATAATAACCACAGCACCAGTTGGATCTTGAGGTTTTATGTATTGCAAATCCCATCCTTTACTGATATCCCTATTCCCTTCCACAACCGAAGCCCAACTACGCAGTGGCTTCTGCTTTAGGGATGGTTGAAATTCCCTTTTCTCCTTCTCAATCAGGTCACTCCACCGGGCATTAGGAGACATCGCCATACCGGATGTAGAGCCAGCGCCCTTTTCACCAGAAGGTTGCTTCATCTGGATGACAGAAGGCTGAGTCTCCAAGCGCACTCCCTTCGTCCCCTTCGCTACTTTCCCTTCCACGGGGCCGGCCTCGCTCTTCCCCTTATCTACTCTTCCATCCCTGGGCCCAGCATCGAATCTGCTTTTCCTCTGGCCTTGCGTTGAAACTGCTAGATCTAGCAAAATTCCTTCAACGTCCCCTTTTTTCTCCCCTAGATCTAGACTCAAACGCCCTAATTCCTCAATTTCGAGCCCCATCTGGTTTGGATCGCAAGGAACAAGCTTCACAACCTCAGTTTGCTCTTTGTTCTCAACTGAGATGCTATTTTGCTCCCCATTATCATCTTTCAGATCTATTGGTTTTGTTGCAGCACCACCTTTCGCGACGGGTCTTTCTTTCTCGGTCGGCCTCTGCCCCCCATCTTCGACGTTTCCAGCTAAACCACCACGCTCACGAACAATAGCATGGTTGATGAAGATTGTTGAATCGAAGATCGTCAACGATCGGGAGATAGAGTTCTGTCGTTCTTCTTTTTCCACCCCTCTAACACATATCATTCTAGTAACAAAATCGATACGTATACCAATAAGGTATTGACAACTTTGGTTTAAATGGGTCTAACTCCTTTTTAAATGAGCATTTTGTATGGGCTAAAGGATAATTTCAGCCATAAAACTAATTTTCCCTTCCATTGGGCTGGGATTAAAAAATAAGTTCATTTTCTGGTTTGCTCCAGAGACTAGAGCCATAACCCAAGATATTAGCCCAAAACCCAAGGCCCAAACTGCTACATTCTTTCTACCACTGGCCCACATCCAGTCTGCCTCCTTTGTTTATCAGCCCAAGAATAAGATTTCTTGATCAAAATCCATTTTAAACTCAGAAAGAAGACCAGACCAATTGTGATTGAATGTTGGGCCTGCCTTATGTCATCTCGTTTGATGTGGTCTAAAAATTTGGGCTACAATAATAACTTTCTTCTATATATATAGTCGTATATGTATAATAATATATAATATATATAATAATACCTAGAAGCCTATATTTCTTTTATTTAAAATATTTATTTTTTAAATTAAAGATTTAAATATAATAATTATATTTATTTATAATACTTTTAAAAAAATAAAAGATAAA